ACCAAGATTTGAAAGTTTCTTGTCCCCTTATTGGTCCTTTGGGTCAGGTGTCAGCCAGGTTACCTGAGCTTCTTAACCCTTTACAGGGAAAAGGATTTTGGAGTCTCTGGCCAGGAGGGATTTTATAGTACTGTACACAGGAGGGCTGTTACCCTTCCCTTTATAGTTATGACAACCCTGCTCTAGCAGCCAATCCCCCACCCAGCACCCAACCCCAGGGAGACCCTGGACACTTCTGGATCCTGTCCCAGCACCCCCGACCCCCACTTTGACTTTCCTAACCATTGCCCATGGGTGAGACTGTGACCAAGCCCTGGACGCCCAGATCCCTTGGCTGAGCCAGACCTTCCCTGTGCTGGTGTCCCCTGGGCTGGGCTGGGGGGTGGGGTCCCTAGCTGAGCTGGTAGGGGGTCCCTGGCTGGTCTGACTGTGGGGGGTCTCTCTGGGCCGCAGTATGACCTTGGAGCCTGGATGCCCAACTTCCCGTCCTCCATGAGGAACCCCCCACCCCAGGCCAAGGGCACCACCTCCCTGGAGAGCTACCTGGACACCATCCCGGAGGTCAACAGCACCAGCCTCGCTATCTTCACCCTCTGGGTCATCTGCTGTGAGCCAGGGGACTCGGTGAGAACATGGGCACTAGGGGTCACTGTGGGGCAGGGAGCAGGGCACGGGCTCAGCAGGGGGCACTCTCCCCTGGCAGGCAGGGCTGGCCCCAGGGTGGCGCTAGGGGGCAATGGGCTGCGGGTGTCTGTTGAATGAGCCGTTCTGCTGATTTCTCCATCCCCTCCTTTGTGGTAGCAATAAAGGAGCCACTGACATTTCACATGAGCCAGGGGATGAACCGGGGTGTCCTGGCCCAGTTGCACTTTGGGGGATGCCCTGTTGTTTCAACCGGCTGCAGGATTCTCCTTCCCTCCCTGGCCTGAACTCTTCCCAGTTTTGCTACAGTTCTGTTAAACACCTGCCCTGTGCTCTAGGGCACATGAGTGATCCTTGTGTAACCGGCTGCCCCACCCCAAAGGTGGCTGCATCTCAGCGCAAGGTGAGGGAGCCCTTCCGGGCTGTCCCTCACCACTCTCCCTTTCCCTTGCAGAGATCCCTGGGCACGTACCCTGATGAGCACTTCACGGAGGAGGAGCCCAAGCGGCTGATCACAGCCTTCCAGGGGCGCCTGGCCCAGATCTCCCAGGAGATCCAAGAGAGGAACAAATCGCTGCCCATCCCCTACTGCTACCTGGATCCCCACCAAATCGAGAACAGCACATCCATCTGAGCCCGACCAGCGAACCCCAGGGACAGGCCCCCTGAGGCCGCTGGCAACGCTGTCCCTGAGATCCTGTCCCAGGAGCAATAAACCACACACTGGTTCCACTCTGAATGGCTGATTCTGTCTAGTGGGGTACAACACCGGGGG